CGCGTGTGTACGAGTATGTGCGCTGATTGCGAAAAAGTAAACTAAATAGCACTATGGTGACAACAACAACAAGAAGGCTGCTCTACAAAAACAACATTAATTATATTTGCTGGTGGCAACAGCAACATGAACTCAATGCGTATACCGTAAAGTTTAATGCACTCTAATTGCATGGCTGTGTATGTGTGTGTGTATTCAAGGGGTAGACGACAACAAAGCTAGGTATGCCCCTGCTTGACATTCTAAAGCATTTAAATGAACTTTTGTGTATGTGCTTGGTTTTGCAGTTCTGTGTTTATGCCAGACGGATAGGGGTTCCTTTGCCCTCGATTGCGTGTGATTGTTCGGCGCGACACAAAGTTCAATTACTTGCCATTTTCTTGGAAACAAAGAAAATGAAAATGGCTACTACTACGCGGATATCCGCTATGTGCGTGATGCGTGCGTACGTGCGTGCTTTGGTTTTGGCCTGGCGGGGTAGCCAACTAGGGAAACATTTAGCAATTGGCTGCAATGTGGCTTTGTTTTTGGGCGCGGCTTTTAAGTGAGCGGGCATGTTAAATGGCCATTTGGTGGCAGCTCATGAAGTTGATTAATGTTTGATTTCTGTTGATTTATATGATCAAGGGGTTACATTGAGTTGCCTGGCCACAAATTTTTGTCGCAAATCCAAGTGCAGACAATTATTTACCCATTCCAATGCTGGCATCAGTTGTCATGGACAATAGAAGAGGTTTATGTAAGGCTAAAAACGCTCGATTGCGGTGGACACGAGAAAACGACACCCAGGGCGCTGTATCAAAATCGCATTTATAACGTTCTACAATATTGGTATACGGCGGCAGTTCCTCGCAGTTTGCCAAACACTAAAAAAGGAATTATTTTCACAAACACTTTGTGTGATTTATGTCCTTGGCTTGTAAACGCCAACAGGAGCAAAAACTAAGAGCCATATAGCGGTGTCCTATCGAATTAAAAATACCCTGCACTTTGTTCCAAATGTTGCTTCTTATTACAAAATGCGTTTTAAATAAATTGTTCAATTTAGTTAAGTGCAGTTGAAGTGCAGCTTTTGTTCTAAGAAATTACCCACACACTTCCAACAGAATTATGGGATAGAGGCACTGCAAAAAAAGCAAGTGTTAATAATGACTGCTAAAGTATTAAGTTCTTCGATGTCTTTATCTTAATTATAAGTTAATTATCTTAAATGAATTACTCATTGTATTTTATGCTATAGAATTTTTACATTTCATTTTTACATAAGTCTTTGCTATTCAGTGGTAGCCCTTACAGGGTTAAAACGAGCTATTGCTTGCAGCCTGGTTGCCTGCCTTTTGACCACAAGCCGAAAAAGAGACAAAAACAAAGAGAATGGTCAACGAAAAGCCAAAACATGAGCAGCCAACATGTTCGAATGACTAAGCAAAGCTTAAAACTGTGTGCCACGTGAAAAGGGAGTGCTTGTGTTTGTGCGGAATTTATTGGCAAAGAAAGGGGCCTGCAAAACGTGCAAATTACAGAGCGCTTTTGATGATACAGTTTGTTTGGCTGACTGCTTCTTGCTATAAATTTTCATGTCATATAATTCAAAAATTTGCAGTTGACATTTTCAAATGCAACTGCAGCTAATGACCACGTCAGTCATTTGGTAGGACAGTCAGAGAGTCGGACAGCGAATTGGGGCTGGCCCTTTGGTCTGACGCTGTCCATAAATTTTGAATGTGGAAAAGGTTACAAGTTTTTGCCATTTGCTCCCTGCCTATTTGACTGCCTGTCTGCTCAGGTGGCCTGTCCACATTTCAATTAGGCGTCACTTGTAAATGTTTCGAAATGGAAGTCCCCTATTTTTGTTTTTTTTGGCTGCGCCGCATTGCGACCTTCGTTGTCAGCAACATGGCAGTCAGCAGTGGCCAGGCTTCATTAATTTCAAGCATTTTCAATGCCTTTGCCGTTGCCATGAAACGCCTGACTTCCGTCTTAGCGCTCGGGTGCCGTTGCGCTGGCCATTGCCAAAGAATCGCCAAGGCGACTAAGTAAATTATAAATTTTATGGCATAGCACAAAAATATTTTGTGGCCATTTTCCTTGGCGTGGGTCGATGTCGATACTGCTCCATTTCTCCCCTTTTCGTTATCGTTCTTGTTGTCTGTCGCACAAGAATTGTTCTTATGTTGCATTGTCACGCGACCAGGGCGTATTTTAGATGCAGATTGGCTGTCTGGTTGCTTGTTAACATAAAAATTAGTTGAAATGTTTGTGGGCTGTAAATATTTTATAAAATGTTGCCGTTTCAAAAAACGCTACCCGTGGCGGATGTGTTTATGGAATTGTGTCTCTAGCGTGCGCTTTAATTAAGTTTTACCACACTATGCGTATACGTAATCATGCCATTAACATAGGCATACAGCATGGCCTGCCAAAGCTAGCAAAGAGATTTTATAATTTGGCGAGTCCAAAAGGCTTGCAAGCTCACTTGCTATGTAGCTAATGCCCAAATGGTATTCAAGAGCTACGCTCTTTGCATTTCCAACGAGACAAGCTAAAGCCTGCCTGCACAAGCATGTGGCAACAACATTGGTATCGGCATTAGCTTACCTTGCCTTTGCATTTACAACTTACGAAATTGCAACCATTTACACTTTGACTCCGTCTTATGGCTCGCCAATGTGCGTTGCCACCTTTTCTGTTTGTGGCATACTTTCGGGGATTACCTGCGAAATGACAGCACAACGCTGTGCCATACTCGTACACCTGCTAGTACTCGTACGTGTGGATATTTTCGTATGAGTGTGTGCGAAAGTGCGTGACAAAATGAGCTCAACTGTGCTGCCTTTTACCAGCAGCGACTTGTGTCAGCCCTGGTCCACAGGCTGGCCCACCGCATTTCATATCCTTGCGTTTATATCCATGCGACAACAGGCGCAAAGCCCATAGCTAATTAAAATGCCTGCGCTGCGATTTATGGCACATCAAGTCGAGCCCTCTGGTTAGCACCACAACGCAATGTCAAATGCCAAATTTTCTGCAGTAAGTTCACACTGCAACCCATCGCCGTAAGTTGAAAATGTGCCACAATGATGTACTTATAAATGTAAAGAGCATATACATAAATAGTAATGTAAACAATGAGAACAATTTAATTTTAATTTTATCAAACAAATACATTTTAAGGGAAAATAGCGGCGGTTCTAAAACTACTCGACCATATGCTGCAGTCTTTTTATATAATAGTATCAGTTAATATAAACAGATAGTGTACTGTTATAAATAAACAAGGAACTTTGAAACGAGAACATCACTATTTAAAATTTGTGCACACACCTCGTATCAAATATTTGATAAATAAACTGAACTACTATTTGGTGAAAAGACTTCAATTGATATACTTGTATATATAATAGAATTGAATTTGATAATAAGCAAACGTGTTGACTCAACTATCATTTATACTATTAATAAAACTGATTGATTAGTCTTACTTCAGTAGTATAGCTGCCGCTCAGATATACTAGAAGTAGGAATGCAGTCAGGAAGCCCCATCAGTGATGATAAAATGTTCACGGTTCCTATTCCTGCAGTTCCAGCTCCTAGAGAAAGACAGTCTCCACATCTCAACTCCCCACTTCTATAAAAATCTTAACAGGCAGAATAAAAATATAATATCAAATAATATGTAATTATATTAAGAATGCATAAAATTGTATACTTTTGCACGAACTTCGAATGCCGTTAATTCGAGCATGGCTCTGAGAAGGCTCTGTTAGTTTTTTCTCTGTTTTCACTTTGAACAGTTTTGGAACTGTTCCCATAACACCTTAACCTAATTTTGTAAATTATTTATGCATTTAATTCTAAAAGCTTTTTTTGATTTTTTTGTGCTAACTAATTCGTAGCCGGCACTAGGTCTTTGTAATTTTTAATGTTGCGTAAAAGCTTTTTCATATAGCCTGTCCCTCTACCACTCTGCCTACAGATGTGTTTGTGTTTGTGTGCGTGTGTGTTTTGCTTTTGTTTCAAGGTTAGACAAGAAAAACTTTACAGTCACGCAGCAGATTTTATGCAAAACAGCAGTCAGCCAGTTTATATTTTGTGCATTTGCAATTACTCTGCTTATTCTTTCTGTTGTTGTTGTAGTGTAGTTGCTGCTTTTGCTGGCTATTATGTAAGTCACTAAGTATGCTTGAGTGTTAGTCGTATGTGTGTGTGTGTGGGGGGGTGGGCGTGGCTGTCTATTGCTGTGAAAGTCATAAATTTCAAACAACTCTCGTAAAATCTTAAGTGAGCTTAGCATTTGTAGTGGCACGTTGCTCATTTCAGTGGCGTTTTTGCAACGGTCGTCGTTTTTGTTGTTTTTGTTTTTTTTCTAACATGCAAATGATAAGCGTGAACTGTTTGCTTTGCTCTATGAGTTAATATATAGTAAAAAGTGGTAGGGTATAGAGAAACTTTTCTGCGATTGGGCAGTACAAATATAAAAGGCTTCTTGCGAATTTATCATATTCTTTATAATAATTTCAAAGATATTACGATAAATAAACAAAAAAACGAAAACTTATAAACTAAAATCTGTGAGCCCTTTATTTTATTTTATATACTTAATTGTATTTAACAAAATTTTTCAAACCAATATTACTTTTGCAAAAAAATGTCTAGATTGACGCATTTTCTACAAATTTTTCAGGCATCACATGTACATAAAACATTTTTCTGAGATCTGTTTCGTCACATAAGAAAAATTCGGAAGGAAAATTAAATTAGAAAATGATAATAATACATAATTTAGAGGGAGAACAAATTAATTATAATTTATAAATTAGCCGGGAAAACAATAAACAAATTGTGTTAAGGTGTTTTCGCATTCGAATTAACTTAACTTTAGTTAGTAATTTTTGTGCTTTTAAAAATGATTTTTCGTTATTAATTATTTTATTCACAGCTTTAAATTGTCCATGGCCGATGCATTTAAATTTTACATCTTACTGAGTGCCATGATGTTCAACGCTAAAATTATTTATAGAGGTCTGTATATGGGTCCTGTATTTATAAACTATTCAAAGATGCCATCGTGAAATTTGTAGCAATTATTATCAGTTGTATTATTCAATTGGTAGCGCCATGCACTGTTAATTGCCGTGAGACTTCAGGGCCCGTGTGTGGCTACAACGGCACCTGCTATTATACATTCATCAATCATTGTGTTATAAAGCAAGCGAATTGTCTTCTTAAGACTGGTGAGTGAAAAATAATTTTTAAAAATACATATGAAGTATGTTGGACTTGTCTTTTTTTAGCATTTCGGCAAATCGCTAGAACCGCCTGCACCACCACCCAACTTGCTATTTGTAAAGTACATAAAGTTAAACAGCATCTAATGTAGAGAATAAAATGTTGTGCATGAGTATAATAAACAACAACCTAGCTTGATTTATAAATATAAAACATTCTTTATGGAATTATTTGCATTCCTGACGTGCTTTTGACCGTTTATTTATTTCAATCTGAGCAACATTGAAGCGCATTTCATTGTCGACTTCGACAATATATTTACACAGTTAGTTACCTTGCCATAACGAATTTACCAATTTTAGACATATCTGATGATTTTGAAGTTATTTTGGAAAGTTTCTCAACTTTACAAATGCTTGAAAATTTCGATCCTCCCTTATTAAAAATGAAGTTTTACATCTTGTTTTTGGGTATGTACTTGAGACTTGCATCTACCACAAGCCAAAATAAATTTGATTCCTTTAGCAATCTGTATCATTTTTGCAAAAGAGCCACCTGTTAAAAAGTGTACGATAAATCGAGGTATGTTATGCGGCTTCAACGGCGAATGCTATCAATCATTTTCATCTCTGTGTGCTATGGAAGTAATCAATGCCCACCGCAAAAAATACGGAAACAAAGGTACGAGTAAGCTATAAATTCTTAATTGGCTTGTTACGTGTAACTAGTTTTTCTTAGAATTCAAAGAAGCCAGCAGGGGAAGATGTTCAGAGAAATTGAAGCCCGTTTGTCCCCGCTAGACGAAAGCGGAAAGGAAGGAATGTCCATTGTGCACTACTTATAAATATTGTTAATGGAATAAGTGCTTGCCAATTGAATTATTATACTGATTTAAACTAATCAGATGTACCTCTGGAAGGTAATAAAAATATTTTCTTATACCAAATATGCGACATTTGGAGAAATTTGAATCGGAGACGGTGTAGTACAAATATCGTTTTCATACAAGAGTATGTCTTGAAAAAGCCAAAACGTTATAAAAACAAGAAAGGAATGCTAAAGTCGAGCAGGCTCAACTCTTAAATATCCTGTACCACCCCACAAAAAAAGAAATTAAATTAATTAAATTAATTAATTAATTAACTAAATTAAATATAAAATATTCCATACATGCATACATACATTTACATTTACATCAGAATCGTGTCTAGGCGTGTTTGTGTACTTGTACACATGTATGTATGTGTGCATTGGGCCTGGTTATATGGCTATAACTTTCTTTCGGATCAACCTATCATAATGAATATATAATCACTAACTGGATGTGTCTACCAAATTTTAGTTCAAAATTCCAAGAATTACGGGAGTTATAGCAAATCGTGAATAGGGGGGGAGTCGGGGGGTGCTTCGGGAAAAATGAACAAACTCGTGCTTTCTCGGGCTCAGGAGAATCTGTACACCAAGTTTGGTTATTCTAGCTCTTATACTTTCGGAGATCCTTGCGTTCATACAGACAGACAGACAGACGGACAGACGGTCAGACGGACAGACGGTCAGACGGACAGACGGACATGGCTATATCGACTCGGCTTGTCATGCTGATCAAGAATATATATACTTTGTGAGGTCTACCACGCCTCCTTCTGTGTGTTCCATGTACACTCGCACACAACTAATATAACTAGTGTGTTTAATAGTTGTCAAAAATATTGTCTAGTAACAAGGTAAAGCTTTCCAAAAATTCTGCCTGTCAACGATTTTAAAATATTGTAATATAAATAGCTAATGCACATATCTTTGCTTTTATGTGCTAATAGGCTGCGAAAATCACGGCAATTAGTATTGGAAACTTCTCTTAAGCCACAGCTAACCATATTGTTAATATATGCTATAAGAAATAAGTATTTTCGGGCCTAGAAGAACCTACATTTTCAAATTGATAACCGTAGCTGTTATAAATACTTGGTAAGACCCCTGCATTCAGACCATGCTATTAAACAAGAATTTATTTTGTGTTGCTTTTATTACAAATTGTATTTAATTGTACTATAAAGTCAGAATACATGTAACAGACAGAGCTAGGTAGGGCTATCTGTTTGTCCGATTATTAATCTTCCCGTTTGTATTACGAAATAATAAGCCCAACCAGCTGGTAGATTTGTGTTCTTCATTTTGTTTTTTATAATTTACTCTAGTAATACTTGTATCTGAGCATTTTCGGAGTAATTTCCACTGTGAACAACCATTACCTGCTAATAATTAATAAGTGTAACAAATTTCTATTTTACACCCCTTTAATGACTTTGACTATAAATTTTTAGAAAAAAGCCAACTCTTAACAGTGTTGTTCAAATTAAGCAAAATGAAGTATCAGGTATTATTAATAGGTGAGTAGTTTGTGAGAGATGTTTTAAAATGCTTTTAACATTTATTTTTATTTTAGCAATCCATGTCATTTCTGGCATACAAACACAGGAAAAAGAGTGTATAACATCGAGGGGTGAACTATGTATCCACAACGGTACATGTTTTCAAACATATGCACGTACTTGCGCTACGGATATCATATTAGGTGTGTTATGTATGTTAATGCGAGTTATAGTAAAAAAAAATCAGATTTACGTCAATCAAGTACGACGGAATATCTACTATATTTGTTCGTGCTTACGATAAGGAAAACCCATCACAGCTTTTAATCTGTTATTTGTTTTTTTATTAGATTTCAAAGAAGTTATTGAGGGTAGATGCCCAAAAGCACCTCCTTGTCCCCGATGAATTAGTCTGTATCTTTAAGCCAAAGGACTTTTTATATTGCCTTTGTATATGGTCATTAAATTATTAATTATTAATCTGCCAAACCAATTGAAACAAACAATGATTCATTAAAGCAACTTAAAAAGTGACATTTCTATTCTGCACTTAATACTTGTATGATTACACAATTGAAATGTTTTATTTCATAGTAGAAAAAAATGCTTAGCTATAATTTCATTTCAGTATTCTATCAGGATTTGTTCAAAATTGTTGGTTTCGAGGGAAAATAATCTTGCAAGCTGACAAGTAGAGTGGCATGATGGGTAGAATAATATTCTCAAATGGAAATTTAATGTTTCAATTGCATTCGTATTTATATAATGCATTTATTTTGTACCTACATATGTACATCGAAAGAAATGTCTTATACTTGTATATATGTGGGATATTATCCAGTCATTTTTAACTGGTCGGCCGTCGGTTACATGACGTTGTACATTTTTCTCAAGTGCTGGCATTATTTGAAATGATCTAGGAGCAATACAGGCTCACAAGCTGTGCCAACCCAACGCATTAAAATCATGTAAATAGATAAAATGTTTAGCATAGCCCCCTTTCGCATCTGCTCGCAAAATACGAACAATTTCACACAGACCGCATGATATTTTTATAGCATACTTTGCCCGGCAAAGCAAGAGCCAAGCCATTTGGCACACTCGACACACACACGAACACCTTTGCCGACGCCGCTGGCCATCATTTAAAGTGATTTTTATTTTTATAACTATTTGTTATCATAAAAAAGGGGTGTGTGGGACAAAAACCAGACAAACTATTCTCAATGTGAGAGACAGACAATTTTGAAGCAGCGTTTCGGACAATACAAAAAGCAGCAGCTATAGCCACAACAAGAACAAGCTGCAGACACTTTAAAATGTCAAAGCCATTGTACCATTCCTATGTAGCTGACAGTTGTTATTGTTGTTGTTGTTGCCCTTCTCCTTGATGTGTTTTGTGGGCACTTAAATATACAGTTTTTAGTGGCTGCTTTTGCTTTTTGCCGCCGGCCCCTTTATCTGTATCTTGAACCACTTCCCACTCTGTCTCTGCTGTACGAGTATGTATGCTTTGAGGACTGAAGCTCAAGTTTTATTGTCCATGCACATTTTATGGGCCAATAAAAGAAATATGTTTGTTTATTATTATTATTATTATTTTTTTTTGTTTATGCTGTCAAACTTTACTTATTTTACATTTGATTGTAACAAATGGTAGCTGCTGAGCATATGGCATACTCACGATTTTGTGGTGTAGCGCAGATAACTCACGCTCTGTGACACGTCTACTGGCTGCTTCACGCCGCCTTTGCCGGAACTGTGAGTACTTATAGGCGAGCATAACGCCGGGCAGAGCGAGCGCCTCCAGCGGTGATTTGCGTCCGAAGGGCATGGCGTTTTTCGTCACACACTCGGCGTTGAGCTCCTCTACTCCTTATTTCCGCTTATTTTTGGTTTTTTCTTGACGAGTTAAGTCTAGTTGAGTTTAAAAATATTGCTTTGCGTTTGTTTGCAATTGAGTTTAAGTTACGTATAGTATGTATGTTTATTGCACAGTTGCACTTTAGCTAATGAATGCCTGCTCATTATGTAAGCATGCAAACAGACACACACACGCAACCAGAATACTTGTAAGTCATTTGCGGGACATTTTGCTTGGCCAATTTGTACGCTCTATGCCTTTATTTTTTTATTTTTGCTTTTCGCTTTTTTTGCGTTGCGCCTTTACTTGATAATTGGCGTGCTTTGCATTTCATTTGTTTTCGCTTTCTTTTTCCTTCGCATGCTGGTGATTATGATGGTGATGGCTGCAATATATATCAAGCGTGTTGTTGATTGAAAAAAATGTAAGCGCAGTTCTCAATGCTACGCAATAAATGTTGGGACAGCAACAACAATTCGAAAGTAATTTATCATGCCCGCTGCTGTTTGCTTGTGCGCAATTGTTAGCTGTCTAGATTTTGAGTGGGACACAAGCATTTTACTCCCAAGAGTACGCCCATAGAATTCACACAGCTAACACATATTTACAATTATATATATACATATATATGCATATATATGTTGATACTACGCATACGACTCGTATACGTAGTGTTCACAGGCACTTGAGCATTCAAAGGGCGCTTTGATACAAGTATGTTCCTTGCTTTCAACTGTACGAGTAAGTGTATGCAAGTACTCTACTTGCATATGCTCTTGTGTATTTGCATATCTACAAATAGAAGGTATTTTTAGGAAATTTATATTTTAGGTAAACTCTTGGTGCATGGCATTTGATTTATATCCTGTTGCTTCCTTTGACTTTTGACTTAATTACGAATTTAGTTTCATTAGAATTTCTCGTTTGTTTTGATAAGTTATTGAAGCAAATATTTGTGCAGAGAAATGTTGCTGGAGCGCCTTTTAATATGCAGCAAATTGTATATCCTTGGGTATCATTCGGACGCAGTTATGTGCATGAATGCGCTTTGAATTTAATAAAATTTATGTTTTACATTAGTTCTAAGTTCAAATTACAGGCGAACGCGCTACTACATGGCCATTAATTTCAATTACAGCAAATGTCGCCATACAATAAATCACGGCACACACTCAGACACACACAAACACACACACACGCATTCACGCATAACGGCAAGCGCACATCTCAATTTATTTTTATTTTTTGCACAAAACACGCACAAACATGTTCAAGCCAAAACGACAATGTGTCTGCAGTTGATTACACGCTGGGCTTAGCTTGCCATAAGCCAGCGTGCTGCGCACTTTTCCTTAAATTCTCTGATATTTAAGTTGCCCACACACACACACACACACATAGAAAAATGTCGCACAACACGCACTGCACGCCGCTAAGTCAATCAGTAGCCCGCTAGTTGGCCACGTGCACTGAGGGCCAACGTTGAATGTCGAATGTAGCAGGCAAACGCCACAGTTTCCCACGCAACCGCAACGATGGAAGCTGCGTGCGTGGTACTGCAAAACTCTGTGTGTGTGTGTGTGTGTGTGTTTGTGTTTGTGTGTGAGCGACGCACGCTGCGCTTCCAGTTTTGTCATTGCAAAGACAGTAACACAGAACACACAGCATAGACACGCACACAGCCAGAGCTTATTGGAGGTGGAGTCTACGCTTTCCAGATAGGCCTTAAGGCTGCCAACATTTGTTTATTTTCCCGCCTGTCTTTTTGACAGCCTTCTTTGGAATTAATTATTATGATTATTAAATTGCAAAAAATACGAACACGACGCGCTTTACACGCAACTCGAAGGTTCGTCTCGGTTATAGTGGTGCCCACGCTCAGTTGCCACACGCTATGGCCACAAATTGACGCAAACTCGTATTACTTTATATTACTGTATTGCTTATTTCCTTTACTCGTGTCGTTGTTGCAGTCTCTTTTTCGTTACATTTGCTTTCATGCTTTCACTAATTGACTTTTATTTTTGCACGTTTTGGGTCGACATCGCCATCGCCAGAGCCAACACCAGCGCCATCGCCAAGGCTCAGCACTTGAACATACGCCATGCTGGCGAATTACGCATACGCCACGTGCGCTCACAACATTCACGATGGCGTCTGCGAAAGCAACTGCCTGCCGAATTTCGACTGACGGTCGTATGGCAGGAAAGGAAAGGCAAGACAAAGTAAGGATTTCCAAGTAATGGGACGCCTCATCGGCGCATGCGCCAGTTAGGTAGCCGGCTAATTTGTATAACAGTTTAAAATACTCGCACGGGTACTCGTACAATAGATAGCAGTAGATAGTGCCAATTTATTGTTTACTTCGCTTTGCCTCTTAGGCCGGACAATGGACACTGCGCAGACACACACAGACTTGTAAACAAAACGTCATCACATTTTGACAGTTTTATGTTGGCGCTTTTCATTGACGACTCTCAGTGATTGCGGCTAGGGCCCGTTGAGGCGCCTAGAGGCAACTAGAGACGCTCACAACAGTATAAGTATTATAAACAAATCACTAGTCGGGGGCACATTTGCTTTGCGCTTGTTTGTCGCATCGGCAACGCTGGCTGCTTTGGGGCTTCGTCATTTGCTGTTTTGTGGTTTCAGTTGTGGCATTTAGTTGTTCAATTTTACGAGCGTCGGTTAATTATGGTCGGTATTGTTTGTAGTGCTAATTGTTGCGGTCTTTTGTGGCCATAAAAAGTGAATTTATGTGCACTACATGTGCGAAACTTTGTTAGAATTACATTTCCAGGTTTGCGCCTTTCTAGTGTGAAAAAGTAATTAATTAACTTAGAAAGCCTAATAGGATATCCAGCCATGGATTATTTCTCTGGAAATATATGAAAACTACGAAATGTGTTATAGACTTGGAAGCCTAAGTAAACATACATCAACAATTTACATTTAATAAACAGCGAATTGTAGGATATTTGGATATATTTTTTAATGGGCAGCACTTTAATGCAAGCATCTTAATCAGCATGGCCTTTATAAGCCACTCTAGGATTAAAAGATAAAAGCCTATATAACTTAATCAACATGGTCAGATTAATTAATCTGGGTATGTCTGGATGAAATGGATGAGTCCACAGTGACAAACTTTGTGTGTAGACTCTGCTAAGCCCTAAACCATGTCCGCAAATTGTTGTTCCCTTTACACGAAGGATGAAAAGTTAAGAGATAGCATCACCAGCTTTAAAAATATTTTTAATTAGCATGTAATAAATTGATCAAATGTCTGGCTATGTAGTTATATTTTTAATTAGTTTAACAATAACAATTATAATAAATAATAATAATCAAAATAATTTTATAAAATAAAATAGTATATTTTATTTAATTAAAATAATACTTTGATTTCAAAACTATTCATTGCGGCCCACTGTACAACGCTGTAGTCTCACAATAGTCATGACACAAATCCGGCACGTTGGCTAACAGCAAAAAGTTTGCCATCATTGCTGGCCAAACACAAGCTGTGATAAGTATAACAACAGTAATATCAAAGGGAAACGCCGCAGATTTTCACTCACATCCTCAGAACGTATCGTATTTAGTTATACTATACAGATCAATAGGTATAAAGAGCGCAGGTCAAATGGCGAAAAAGGGTCAATAAAAGTAACAAGCAGCCAAAACAAATCGCAAATGTCCAACAAAATACACACAACAACAACTACAAGTACAAAAGCAAAAGGCAAATACAAGCAAAGTCACTGGAATGCTGGTAAAAGTGTGTGAGAGAGCTCGAAAAGTGTTATACAAAACAGATGAAGAGAGTGAGAGAGAGTGCTCAGGTGAGAGTGCGAGCACATGGCCTGCTTTGGGCAAGCAAAATAAAATCAGCGACGCCATGGAAATGATGACGTAAATTGCAACTGGCTTGCTGTTGTTGTTGCCATTACCGTTGCAACAGCATGACAGGGCAAGAAATTTATTTGTGTGCATGCGAGACACACGCTCTGCTTGACTGTCTGTCTGCGTCCAACTGTCTGTATGCCGCTGGCTTTAGCATTTGCACTGCAAACGCATTGTGTGTGTGTTCAGGTGCTTGCCTTGGTCTGTTTGTTTGTTTATTTGTCTGTTTGTTGAAATGAAAATGTGCTGAGTCGCTGCTGCACTCTACGAGTAAGTAGATTTTTATGATACATACATACATACATACATACGTATTCAAGTAACGGGCACAGTGGCTTTAATAACATCTCGATGCTCACAATGCCAACAGAAATGTCCCATTTCCGCTTAAATGCATTTTGGTGGCTCTGAGCTGTTGCCCGCTTACTTTATGGCCGCCCTTTGCTTGTTGGAGGTGTTTGCTTTTCTTGCCTTTGTTGACGTCATTGGTAGCCCGTCTTGTCATTTTCAGAGGCTCGTAAGCATGTAGCGTGTTTCTCCGATGCTTATGAGTGTGGGTGTACGAGTATGTCTGTTAGTGTGTAGTATGTGTATGTCCTTCTCATGACATGCACTCGCACACCCATTTTTTTGTTTGCTGGTGCTGGTGCTGTTGCTGTTGCTGTTGTTGGTGTCGTAGTTGTTGCCACTGTGTGTCCTTAAAAACTTTTGCACTTTGCGCTCAATTCGCTTTTTGTTGCTGCTGTGCTTGTTTGGCTATTTTTAGGCCGTACATCTCTCTGCACATTTTATTTATACACATTGTGCATTTTGTTTTTTGTTCACATTTAACCTCAGCTTAAATGCACACAAACCCTTTGTGTATGCTCGGTTGCCACTGCACGCTAATGGCTCAGCAAAAGTTTTATATTAAAACGATATCAATCATACGCCATGTGGGGCACACGTATTTTTACACTCATTTCTCTCTCTGGTACTCTCAGTAGCAATTACTCATATCAAATGCATAAATTAATCAAGAATGACATACAAATAACGACATCGTTAGCGAAAGTTTCGCACACAGGCAGCGCTAGTCAGCAAAGACATAGAAATGCTGACAAAATGCGACCATAATGGTTGTGTGGGTGTGTGTACTATGCTACATGTATGAGTAGCAGAATATATGCGTTGGAGATGAGTTACTCGTAAAAATACACGACTAACAAAGAAATAAGTCAATCTGTGTTGCAATTACTGGTATGGAGGGTACTAATAGCTGGAACCGTGTTCAGTTGCCCATTCAATTAAAATTGATTGAAGATAATTGTATGTCCCATCCGTATAAATAGTGAAGATGACCAAATGTGTAGACGTTCAAGCATTTTAGAGGAGGAAGTTTGTAGCAAGTTTGGCTCACAATGTTACAAAGCTATTGAAGTCAAAAACTTCAATGAGGTAACGTCAATATTATGCAATAAGCTTTAATATGGAATTACAATGAAAGTATACACTTCAGGCGTCCTATCATTTTTAAAACTGCAACTAACGTAATGTGAAGGATCTTTGTAGATGGCTTTTAAAGCGGCATAAGAAGTGGCAAAGTTATAAAAACCAATAGTTAATTTTTAATCATTCAGTACCCGTATTGCTCTCATCTCTAAAATGTGCGTCTGCTACTGGGACAGTGATCCCGACTATGTGCTCTTGTCAATAGCACTGTGTAAGATTGGGTCCGACAATTGACGTCAGACATTCCGATATGGCACACTCCAGTTGTGGGCACATTACCGATACGCACTGTGGCCCCAACTGTGTATCTGCCTGTTTGATGGTTGTGTCACAGACTATGCGGGCATTGCATTTGTGATTGCTGGCGCTGATTGTTATATTGAATACTGTGTCATTGTCTGTCAGACTGGCTACCTCTCCTTCCGTCCGTCTGCCGATACGTCTGTGTGTGACACTCATGCGCTTTCGATTTCGAGTGCTTGTGCCTGTGAGTGAGCTCAAATGATGATGATGCTACAGACAAGTGCTATGAGCACTCATGATTGACCTTGATGAGTGCCGAGCGGACGGCCCGCAATTTGTAATTGTTTTCATTTACTGTAGCATTCACTTGATAAGCGCTTTATGATTACGATTGGGTTTAGTTTAACCTCAACGCTGAAAAGATGCAAATGGTAGTCTGTGTTCTAGCTCTCTTCGTCCTCAGTTTTTCGGGGGCTTACAAGCAGCCTCATTATGAGGGTAAGCGCACTACTATGGTGCATTTATTTGAATGGCCTTGGCCATCTATAGCCACAGAATGTGAACAGTTTCTGGGACCTAAGGGATTTGGCGGAGTACAGGTCAGTACCAAATATTTATTGGTCTTACAGCCATTTGTAAAGCTAAATATCAAAAGGGGGAGAGGGGAATATAATAAACAATACAATAGACATGAAATATAACTTAAATTTATTCTCCTGAAATGCGTAAAAATGCGTCTGAGTAAGCCCCGATACACAGGAACGTTTTTTCATGATTTTGACGACGAACTAATTAAGCTTTGTACTCCACATTGGGGAGATTTTTATTCCTGCTTTTCTTTGTATTATATACATAAATATTATAATTTGATTATCTTTTTAATGCGAGCTTTTTAGTCTAATTTTCATCTTTTTTGTTTTTATTTCAATTTCTTTCAGATTTCGCCACCCAACGAGAATCGGATAGTCAACGGCCGACCATGGTGGGAACGTTATCAGCCTCTCTCCTATTTACTGCACACACGGTCGGGAACGGAGCAACAATTAATCGACATGATTACGCGTTGCAATCGGGCGGGCGTAAGGATCTACGTAGATGCAGTGCTTAATCACATGACAGGGGGTGGAAGCGATGCTCAAACTGGTACTGGAGGCTCCCTGGCACACTATGAAAAGCATCAATATCCAGCTGTGCCTTATGGACCTGGAGACTTCAATGGGGCCTGTAATATTATAGACTACCAAGCACCACAGCAAGTACGCAATTGCCGCCTGTTGTCATTGCTGGACCTAAATCAGAGCAAGCCACATGTGCGTCAGGTTTTGGTCAACTATATGAATCGCTTGATAGATATGGGAGTGGCAGGTTTCCGCATAGACGCTGCGAAGCACATGTGGCCACAGGATCTGGAAGCCATTTACGGGCAGCTGCATAATTTGAATACGTCTCACGGCTTTGCTCCGAATTCGCGGCCCTTTATATTTCAAGAAGTTATTGATTTGGGTTCAGAGCGCATTACGACCAGCGAATATTCCCCTCTGGGTTGTGTCACCGAGTTTCGGGCTGCTAATGAGCTGGGAAAGCTCTTTCGCGGACGCAATGCACTTAAATGGTTGCACAATTGGGGACCTGACTGGTCAATGCTGCCATCGGGGGATGCAGTGGTTTTTGTGGATAATCATGACAATCAGCGGGGGCATGGCGCTGGTGCTGGGGATGTCTTGACGCACAAAGATGGAAAGCCTTATGAGACGGCTCTAGTCTTTTTGTTGGCGCACCCGTATGGGCTGACACGTGTAATGAGCTCTTATGCCTTCAATAACAGCGATCAGGGTAGTACTTGTAGTTGCTCTTTAAATACCTGTGCCACTTATTCTAGACTAACAACTTTCCATTCACAGGCCCACCTGCCACAAGTGATGGGGCTATTGTGGCACCACGCTTTCTGCGTAATGGACAATGTGACCACCTTGTGGGCTGGATTTGCGAGCATCGCTGGCCATTGATGGCACGCCTGATAGAGCTTCGCAACATAGCTGGCTCATCTCCATTGACCCATTGGTGGAGTCAGCATGACCAGCAAATTGCCTTTGCGCGTGCTAATGCCTTTGTGGCCATCAATATGGAAAAGGAGAAAGAACTTAACGCCAAACTGCAAACAGGCCTACCCTCTGGCGTCTACTGTGACATTATCGATGGCGAAAAGTCCGACTCCGGTTGTAGCGGGCGAAAATTGTATGTCGACGCTGAAGGCTGGTTACAGCTACAGCTGCCACCCGGCTCGATTAGTTCCGTGGCCACGCACATTAATGCCAAATTGTAAATGAGTACGAAATAATAATCTCGACAGTATAACTATTTTAATTCTTGAGTTTCTTTTTCCATATATACGACATAAACAATTGATAATCGTCCGTTAGACTAAGTGTCAAAAATATTTAATTATTCAGGAACTTCTTTAGCTTAATGAATCATAAATAGAATTATATATAAGTGTATAAAGTATGTAAAGTATATATCTTTATCTTAAAATCAAAATTTTAAAACTTTATTTGCCACGACTATGAAAGTCTCTGAACATTTGTGTAGATCGCCTAAAATTCGGATGATTTTTTATTTATTGTAAAGCTGTACAAATTTTTGTAGTAGTTATGGAAGAACAATCGGTCAACTTTGGCTGCTAACGTTATTTCGTCATTTATTTGTATAATTTGTCTGAGGACTTATTCGTTTCACATGTTCACATAATGTTTGTGCAACTTATTAGTGGGCTAAGTGAATAAAGGTGTATTGATTTTGTGGGTGTACATTGACCATTTAAGCTCTTTTCTGTTATTTATTGGCTGTTTGCGCTTTACTTAGCCCACAATTTCACCTTAAACTTTGCCAGCACTTTGTTGGCTTCATAGCAGGTAACAAGCATCATGCGCCGATGGCTGTTGGGGTCAGTTGCTGACAAGGCGTTGGCACGCGCGGTTCCAACGCTTCACGAAAGATTCATAATACAATATTGCATATTATTGTTAAACATCCTTCTTAAAAATGGCTGCTGCTGCCACAGCGAGTGCTCCAGCTCCTGCTGCTGCATTGCCCAGCAACCTCGTGGAAATCGCTGGTGAGGCCAACATCGTGAACTACATGAAGAATCGTTTGCGAAATGGTGCCTTGAAGCGTAAAGGACTGCAAATCGTAAATGGTCACAAGTTTGCGGTGCGTTTTTTTAAACAGCCTACCTACTGTGGGCATTGCAAGGATTTCATTTGGTAAGCAGCGCTCGTTTTTTTTTTGTTCCATAACTGCAGGCGTTGCTGCCGCTAATCTAATTAGCCAGACTGTAATTTGACACGTTTCTTTTCTTCTTCTCGTCATTGTTGCATTCGACGACCATTAGGGGCTTTGGCAAACCGGGCTTCCAATGTGAAGGTAGTTTTTTACATATACTTGTATATACATATAATTGTTAGAGCATTTTTTGCGTTTGTGTTCACGAATTTAAAAAATGGTAAAATAAATTTATTTACACACACAGAATGCCGCTTCAACATACATCAGAAGTGTTGCAGCTACGTTGTTTTCAAATGTCCTGGCAAGGACACGGACTTCGATGCCGACTGCGCCAAGGTGAAGCATGGCTGGATCTCGACCACCTACACCACGCCTACATTTTGCGATGAGTGCGGCATGCTGTTGCACGGCGTAGCCCATCAGGGCGTTAAGTGCGAGAGTGAGTGATGCAGACTCGTTGGATACTTTGGATAGTTGTAAATGTTGAGTAATGGGTGCTTTGCGCACTTCCAGATTGCAATTTGAATGTGCATCATGCATGCCAGGAGAAGGTTCCGCCGATGTGTGGTGCGGACATTAGCGAGGTTCGTGGCAAGCTGCTGCTCTACGTCGAGCTGAAGGGCAACAATCTGAAAGTGGACAGTAAGTGTAACAAATTTTAAAGTAATCCGGTAATAGTTTTAAGATGCTTAGCTATGTATTTTCATAAAATTTTGTAAATCAGATCTGTCCTAGCTTCACATTTCACTAGAAAGGGTACACTTTATTGACGTATATGTTTGTAACACTCAAAAGCAAGGTAAAAATTGACGAGATGAATACAGACCATGTTGTCCGTCTATCTGTACAGTCAATAATCCTGCCACAGCTACTAGGATAAAACTTTGCCCCGAGATTTATTTTAAACGAACACACAGCTATCATAAAAAGGATGTGACATAGATTGTGTTCTTGATGATAGTAATTAATGCTTATATATTTTTTGCAGCCCAAGACCATGCAAGAATAAGGGTTTGTTTTTGTGAATCTTGTTGAACAATGATAACAAAATAAACAAAAAAGCAATATAAAAATAAATTTGAATGCATTTGCACAGAATTTGAAAATGAAGATAGTGAGTTATATATAAACATATATGGAAAGTTTAGTTTATATAGCTTGTTTACACCGATATAAGAAAATTCCTGATAAAAGTTTTCTCACAGTCAAGGAAGCCGCCAATCTTATTCCAATGGATACCAATGGCTTCAGTGATCCCTACATAGCTGTGCAAATGCATCCTGATCGCTCCGGTCGCACCAAAAAGAAGACAAAGACCATTCAAAAGAACCTGAATCCGGTTTTTAATGAGACCTTCACTTTGTATGTGCCATCCCACAACTAAACCAAGCACTAGACTAATTTACGGATAATTCTTTCAATGTCAGTGAGTTGCAACCACAGGATCGAGATAAACGTCTTCTCATCGAAGTTTGGGATTGGGACCGCACATCACGCAACGATTTTATGGGCTCATTCTCGTTTAGCTTGGAAGAGATTCAAAAGGAACCAATCGATGGCTGGTACAAGTTCTTATCGCAAGTGGAAGGTGAGCACTACAACATTCCTTGTGTAGATGCAATCAATGACATGGCACGCTTGCGTGACGAAGTCCATGTAAGTCGATCAATTCATTCTACTAGGCTTTAAGCTAATTACCTAAAATTGACAGCACGAACGTCGACCGAATGATAAGCGTCGAATGGATAATAAGGATATGCCCCATAACATGAGCAAACGAGATATGATTCGTGCTGCCGATTTCAACTTTATTAAAGTGATTGGCAAGGGTTCGTTTGGCAAGGTTCTATTGGCTGAGCGTCGCGGCACAGATGAGCTTTATGCAGTGAAGGTGTTGCGGAAGGACGTTATTATACAAACCGATGATATGGAATTGCCCATGAATGAGAAGCGCATCTTGGCCTTGTCTGGACGACCTCCGTTTCTGGTATCGATGCACTCGTGCTTCCAGACCATGGATCGCCTCTTCTTTGTCATGGAATACTGCAAGGGCGGAGATCTCATGTATCACATGCAGCAATATGGACGTTTCAAGGAGTCAGTGGCTACGTAAGCTACAACAATATGTGTTAAAATGTAAATGTCTTATTAATTCAATTTATTTACTTAGCTTCTATGCTGTGGAAATAGCAATTGCGTTTTTCTTTTTGCACGAACGCGACATTATCTATCGTGATCTTAAGCTGGACAACGTGTTGTTAGATGCCGAGGGCCATGTAAGGCTCGTCGATTTTGGCCTGAGCAAGGAGGGTGTTACCGAACGTAACACCACACGTACCTTCTGTGGAACGCCCACCTACATGGCACCCGAAGTATTTTAAATATTTCAATAACTCATAACGGTTGATGCTTAGCTAGATAGAAATTTTTACTTTTAGATTGTCAGCTATGACCCTTATTCAAACACCGCCGATTGGTGGTCTTTTGGGGTATTACTATATGAAATGATGGCAGGTCAATCGCCGTTTGAGGGAGATGATGAGGACACTATATTCAAGAATATCAAGGACAAGAAGGCCGTGTTTCCAAAGCATTTCTCACAGGAGGCAATGGACATTATCACAAGCGTAAGTTATTATTGAACTTTCATAGTCCCTCTTCAACCTACTATATTGTATTGGATTCATTTCATTTAACAGTTTCTTGCCAAAAAGCCAAATAATCGTTTAGGCGCTGGTCGCTATGCTAGACAGGAAATTACAACGCATCCCTTCTTTCGCCTAATCGATTGGGATAAGGCCGAGGCTGGCGAAATGGAACCACCCATTGTTCCGAAAATTGTAAGCACTCGACCATAAGCAGATAAAGTTTCCCAATTGAAATATGCTTTTCATTTATGTAGAAACATCGCAAGGATATTAGCAATTTTGACCAGGCCTTTACTAAGGAGAAAACTGATCTAACTCCAACGGATAAGCTTTTTATGATGAATTTGGATCAAAATGATTTTATCGGGTTCTCCTATATGAACCCCGAGTTTATAACCATTATCTAAAGTGTAACTATTGTGAATTTACCAAACTATGTGGTTCTAGAACTAAATAAAGCTTTAACAAGTTTTTGAAGAGCTTTTAAAGGAATGAAAATTATATTTTGCACCAATAATTACCCATTGATATTGCTTTCTTTAGTTGCATAGAAAAAGCTTGAGCGTCCTTAATTCAGCTTTGGATTGTAGCTGGGTGAGCTTTTGTTGCAGCAGCTCCTTCAAGCTTTCACAAACTTGAAACCTGAAAAGTGCCTCACTTCTTTACAACATAATCCTAACAGCGTGCTCAACCTTTTTTTTTCAAGCTTTCGCTCCCAATCTCAAGTCTCTTGATTGTTTTAATGCTCTCGCTCACAGCTATTTGCTTCAACAAAGCCCAGATAGCAAATGAAAACAAACCCACACTCTCAACACCCGCTCAATCCCAGTAAAGCTGTTCCCGCTCATCATTTATAATGTCTCTGCACAGGCAAAGAGCTACACAAAGGTACCACCCTTTCGACTGCCTAGTGGTAGACTGAACTTTAACCTTCACAGGAGAAGTGCATCGCGAAATTGGTGAGGGGAAATTTTGAAATTCACCACACGTCATGAGTCTGTGATGATGGTGGGCTTTATGTTACACATACGCCGTGTATGGCTCGAAAACAGCTGACAGCTAACATTTACATTTTAGGACGCCTGATGCTCGCAAACTAATTGACCATTCGATTTTGTGTTGACTTTGTCTCCTCTTTGCCTTCCTCGTTGCCTTCGGCTGACTGCCTTGATAAATGATAAATGAGCAGTCGCATGACGCTGCCTACAATTCGACCGTGAAAGGCCCTGAATTTGTGGAGGCGCGGACAAAATTTGGCAATTTTGTTTTAGTTAGCATGTCATAGCCCAGTTAGGTTAACTTGTTGCATTGCCCTCGCAAATAACAGGTTACTTCGTTACAACAATTAGCCGCTTAACAAATGCAATTTAAGCTGCATCCATTTTAAGTTCTTGGCCACTTTAAATTACTTCCAAGCTGGCGAGACGAGATGTAGCTGCTGCCTCGCCAAACACGTTATCCAGCACGCGCTGAGCTGTAAAATTGTTTCGAAATAGTTTGGCAGTTGGCAACCGCAACCGGGCACATACGCTCGCAGGCATTACATATGAGCATATACAGATTTGTGTGGATGTGTGTATATGTAGACATTAAAGCGCGCCAATTTCTTTTCTTTTTTCCGGCGGTTTTATGCAAACTATGGCAGGTGTTTCGTTTATGCTGCCTTTGGGCAAGCTACCAAATAGTTTTTGGCCCAGAAGATATTTCATGCCACAGAGCGCTGCTGTCATTGCTTGAAATGTGTGAGTTGTGGTGTGTGCTATATTTTATTAAGCATTCCTTGCTTTATATTTACGAATTTTACGTGTGCATTTCACCTTTGCGTACCACTCAGATGAAATATGGCACTGTGGCATGCATTTCAGCAAGAATGTGCCGCCAATTTGCACAGACTATCTGGCTGAGTAACCCATGCGAAGAGGACATGCAAAATATGTCCAATACCCTGTACATTTTTAGCTCTTTGTCGTTTGCTTTCGACTCTACTGACTTAAAAACTGTTCGCACTCTTTTAGCGGCAATTTGCAGTCTTATGTGCGTTTCAATGTCTTTGGCTTTGCCTGCAAGGCAGGAATGCAAAGCGCAATAATTTTCCTGCTCTTGTTGGTTATTTGTGCGCCGTTCGTTTTGGCAAAGGGTGCGGTTAGTTGAACAAGCGAAAGCCATAAACCGCAACATGTGCCTGAGCTGTCTTGTCCTAAAATGCTTTTGACTCACCCGTCATGTGGAAGGCAGGGACGGGAGTGGTACAAGGAGAGCGTCAGGAAACAACGCTGAGCATTAGTGTGTGCCAAAGTGCTTAACACAATATAAATAATGGCACGACAGCTGCGAGGTGGCATGAGCTTGGCTCCACATATGCAGGCAGCTACTGCTCGACATAATCTCTTTAAAGATTAATGTATCAAATTGAACATTGTTTAAGGAAGCTCATAAGCCAGAACACATTAGTTTACTCTAGTCACAATCACTTGTGCGAATCTTTGCGTGAGTTTGCACAATCATATCCTTTTGTACAATATCTTGTTAGCTTTAATACTTGGCGAACGGCACTACAACTAAGGTAAGGTGTTTTTAATAAGTGGCAGGGTTTTCTTTCATTCTAATTAAATATCAGAAAAGACAATCCCGCTGTGGAGCTGCAAACAAATGTGGTAAAGTATAATAAAAACAGTCCCCCAATTGGTGCCATTTGTAGTCTATTGATTAAAAGATTGATTAAAAGAAATTGATTAAAAGAAAAATAATTTGAAAACACAGGTAACAGAACAGTAACAGAAACATAGACTTTTGTCATGTAATGAAAATAGAATGTAGCTGATAATATACAAAAATTAAAATTTTGTAACAAATTGCTTAAACCTTTAATAAAAAGAGATTGTCAAGTTTTCGATCAAATAAGTATACAACGAAAATTTGATATTTTTATGCAATTGGTATAGAAAAAGGTAGTATTGTGGAAGCTTGAATTTAATTTAAACGTCGAAATCTTTTATGTACTACAATTTATCCAGCAAAAATGCTAATACTAATCCTTCAAGTCGAAAATTCAATAAATTACTAGTCATCTGAATGGAAAGCAATTAATATGCGAAAAACAAGGTTAGCAGCTGCCAATATCTACTTCTTATGTCCAGTTAAATTTTAATTAACTGTCAGCTACAGATTCCCTTTTAATGCTTCAGCTTTTGACGTAACAGTGGCTTTAAAATTTGTTCTATTCATTTGGCCTGCCCGAATATTATACATTATTGCGTCTTCTTGTGGAGGAAACCAACCATTCAGCCCCCATTTGATGTTTGTGTAAATTTGCTTAGGCACATACCCACACACTCGCACATACACACATGCCTACACATGTGTGCGCATATACATTATAGCCATATAGTTTTCTCATGCCATTACGAGCATGATAACAATGAAATTGTTACGCTTTACTAAGTACGTTCCTTATTCATGTCCATTTTCTGCTTTATGCCACTACGTGTGTGTGAAGTTGGTGCTGCTCTGCAAGCTGTTGTTGTCTGTCTGTCCATTGGCGGTTGTCGGTTGTCCTGCTGTCTGTTTTGTACACTGTCACTTCCGTTTCCGCATGAGCACTCCGTCTCAATGTGGACCACACTCGTGGCTTGCCATCTCAGACTGCTTGGCGTTTTTGCGGCGCTGCCAGCGACTAACAACTGAGTAACCAACTGTCGTCGGTCTCTGTGGCTCATTGTCAGCAACCTTATGAGCTGCTGATGACCCAAGTGACATGCATATACCCATAAAAGCCACAAAATATGGCCAAACTGTCTTCTCCTGTTTCTGTATTTGTGTACAAGTATATGGAAGCCTTTCAGGCTAATTTCATTCTCCTTGCATTGTTTTTAATATTCGAATTGTTTTTACTTGCAATGAAATATTTAGATTTATTCCAGTCACAGATTCCAGATACTCACTTTTGTGAGCGTTCATCCAAAATGCAAGCACCACTATCCTTTCTTTCACCGTCTATGGTACATAAGTGTTCACCTACCACCCCTTAAATAGTATACACGCGGAAATGGAAAAATGGAAAAGTAAAACCACAAATTGTCGAAGAAAAGTGCACACCATACGTACTATTCTGTCATTAAAAATTTAAAACCCCGTTATAGACTCCTAAAAATGTGAAGAGAATTGAACATTTTGTAAAAATTAAGACAAAATATATGATATATAAATATAATATATAAATCGTCTTTTCTTGCCGCATGTGATGCTGAAATATTTATTTATTTATGTCATTGACAAAAAATCGACGTACAAAAAATATAAATACAAAAAAGAACTGAAACTAAATAAAACTAAAGAAAAAAAAGCCTATATCTAAAAAAATATCTAATAACGAATCCAACTCGGGGGGATTTTATTTGCCACACGGCCAGGTATGCCTCGATTCTTAGAAGACAAAAATGGAAGATGGAGATATACCGATAAAAAAAAGAAATAAATAAGTATAATTAAGATAAAAAATTAAAAATAAAATAAAGTCGTTCGATTCCCTATATCATTACGATTTACACGTACAAGTGCGTAAATGCTAATATTATTCCTTTTAAATAAAAACAATAATTATATGTCAATGATATTCTTTTAATACATAGATAAATGAATATCTGTGTACAGCTGTACAGAATTATTCATATTTTTGCTTATTTGTGCAAGTACACAATATTGTGAAAATACAAGTATTTATTCATACAATCGAATCGAACGAAATGAATTCAAATTTTCGCTTTATTAAATATTTCTTTTGTCGCCTTATGGCACGGAAACGCGATGCAGGCGCAAGGAATGATAAATACGAAGTGAGAAGCGCGCAGCATGTGATATGCTCGGCAGCGACGTTCTGTCTGGGTCCGCCCCGACCCTACGCGCAATCCTGATCCCAGTGTGGCCGTGTGGGCGATGGTGATGGTGATGGCGAGGGCGATTGCGATTGCGACGCCTGTTTGTTGGCTCGCATTTCATGTCATCAAATCTTTAATCTAATAAAACATGCTGAAGCAAATACAAAAGAGAGGGAAAGCGATGCATGTATACACGTGCATACATACATACGGACATACTATATAAGTATACATAAGTATATGCGAGTAGAAATAAAAGCACACTGACGACAGAAATAATGTCAGTGAAATGTATATTTGCATAATTCCTGTTGACATTGGCCACGTGTCGCAATGTGTTGGCCATGAGGGCCCTGAGACTCATTGTTGCCTAAAAGTGTGCCAAACAAAGAAATAATAGAAATAAAATTAAACTTGCTTGCTCTATGTGTAGTAGAGTGTAAACTGCTGCTTCCTAAGACTCATAAAGAAGTAGGCGTGGCCACGCCAACAAATTATAGTGTACATGTTACTTACCCTAAAACTTGCTCATTAAGGCATTTACATATTGAAGCACATCAGCTTAAGGATTTTAAAGACTTGTTATTTTACAACTGGAAGTACTAATTGAAGAC